TGTATCTAGCACTCAGGGACACACACAAGCGCGTACATACATACATGTGCGCACACACACACACACACACACACACACACACACACACAGAAACATTCTTTTGAAGCCCCCCCCCAAAATCAAGGTTCCTGCGTGGCCCCTCCCCGACACATCCGTGGACACACACTCAGACATGTTACACCCTTCAGTGCCTTTCCCCAGGTACACATACATACACATACACCCTCACCCTCCAGGAGTGGCCACATACATATATAAGGATATCCTCAGAATGCTGGCTCCTCTTTCATAGGCCCCTTACCTACAAATGGACAAATGCACCCCGCACATGCCTTCACACACCCCTCCCAAATGCTCCGTGCTCCTGTGTGCTATGTATGTGCACAGATAGCTGTCCTTTGTTGGTCCCTGTAGTGCACATACTCACACAGAAATCCCCTTCCAGGGATACTAACATTTCTTCACTGTTGCTTTCCATTTTGACAAACACACACACACTCATAGACACACCTGTCCAGTGCCACCATACCCTTCCTTGCCTGCTACAGACACAAGCCCACATGTCTTGTCATACGTATAATCACACATGTACATTCTGTTTCTCTCATACTTACACATGCTCCTCTCCTCTGAAGCCACCCCACCTACCCACACCTATAATTTTTATACCCACATCTAGAATGGGTCTTATTCCATGTGACACATTTTTTTCCGATGCCACTGTCACCTGCACCTCCCCCCTACAAACATAGGCATCGTTCCATTGCATGACTGCTGATTTCCCTTCTCCTCTCCTTCTGACAGACATGTATGAACTAAGTGCACACACAGTGATCTATATTTTCCACCCTATTCCAATTTGCAATTCTCCTGTATGTGTGCAGGACTCAGAGAAACGCAGACACTTCATAAAAAACCTTCAGCAGTCTTTCCTCTTCGCACATTGGCACAATTCCACAGTACTTCACCCATCTACCCAGCATCCAGTCACCCCTCATTTTCTGTCAGATTCTCCCCTAAGTCTGGCTTTCCTACCAACCCAGTTTTGTAATCATTTTGCCAACATTAAAAATGTGTTCCAAGTCTACACCTGACAGTCACTGGAATGCTACTCCAGGCTTTAGAAGAAAGTGAAACTAATTTTAAAGGCCCCTTACTCTTTTTGTTACCTGCCTGCTGAAGCAGAAAGAAATCTCCCTCCTCCTTTACTCTGAACTGATTTGACCTTCCCATCTCCAAAGTGTGTGCAGGGAGCAGGAGCCTTTCCACTCAATCCCCAGCTTTATTGGAAACCCTAAGTCAGAGCAATGGGTTGGA